TCACAAAAAGTATGATTCAAAAACGACAAAGCAGCAAAGGAAAACGTCCCAGACCAACATTCAATCATGACGGCATCTCAGTGCGAAATACAGCGCATTAGTACTCGACGGCGGTGTTCCTTGAGGTTGAACTTATAGCCCGACGCAAAGAGTGGAGAAAAACTCTGGAGGGGATCTATAGATAGAGGATTGAACGGTGAGACACATGGACTGCCGGACAAAGAACAGAAGACGGAGGCGCATTCTTGGTTCATGTCGAATATATGCACGTAGGAGTCGGTCAAACGCGCATGTCTAGTAGAATCCATGGAGGAGCGAAACAAAAACTCTGGACGAGTTTTTCAACCAGTGCTGGCAACGCCGCCCGAGTCGACGGCAATGGACTGTCCTGCAAAATCGGGAGAGGTCTTGAATGTAGCATCAACACTCACTTGATGTCGTCTGGCATCCACAGTTGATGCGCGGACACAGCGAGAATGGACCTACACAGCCAGACGTGAGTGAATATGGATGGCTGTCTTGGAATGCCCTAGGATCGGAGGCTGGAGGTCAGGACGCAGCATGAGAATCGGATTGTACAGACCGAGCGATGTAATACGGGAGAGCTTATGATGGGGGGAAAAGACAGAAAGTGGCGAAGAGAACCCTACCTTCTTGAACGGGTCTTGAACGGCTGATCGGGGAGGTCGAAAATAAGCCACACGTAATAAAGCACCTGTTGGTGCCCGGCTAAACTTTATTATTTGAGGCAAGTGCGGGGTCAGCTGGGAGCCTCAGAAGTTGAAAGGGAAATAGGATACCAAAACCTCTGAGCTGTTGAGTGGGAATGAGAAGAAACAGCGCAAATTAGGCTAGAGTAATACGAGAAAAAAATATGGGAAACATTCGGTCAGTTCAACCCATCAATCATCCAATGGTCGCCGCCGAAGTTCTCCGAACATGAAGTGGGGAGAAGTGGACTGTGGTGCGCATCTGACTATGTTGAGTTAAATCTTAGTGTACAGCCTCGAGAACCATTGAATCTAAAGCGGAGAGAATCCTATTCATTCTGTAAACGGGGGATTGTCGGAAAAGGGCAAACACGTACATACAATCTGATACGAGGGATCTCCTTAAGATACGAGAAATAACGGTCAAGGAATATCGAATTGCGCAGATTTCCAGATAAATGACAGGGGCGCACAAATAGATTGATGGCGCAAGAAGGTAAAGCATTCAGATGAATCAAATCGGCCGCTAGGAGTTTGAGATGGAAACCATATTGAAGGCTTGAAGGGTGAGAGAGCTAAACCTAGGAATGGAACACGAAAACTGTTAAGCCACGGGGCACGTCTTCTCGTGTACAAATCAGAGTTGAATTTCACAGCCTTTACTTGATCCGAGGTTCAACAGGATCCGAGTCAGGTCAAAGTGAGTTATATGTAGGTCAGTGGCCATACGATTTTCTATATAGCTAGATGTAGGCTGTAGCTTGCTGTAATCTGTTCATGAGAAAATCCCAGTTTGCCCAGCACATTGGGGACACTGTACACGTCTATCATAACAGGACGAGCTGTTAAAGTGGCTGTTGGTCCTGTCAGTGTAGTTCGGTGATTTGATGCTTTTCGAATTGAGGTCAGAGAGAGTGTGCAGCGAGCAAAGAGAAAGGAGCTAAACCAGAATGAGAATGAAGCAATTTTGATGTACACACAAACACGATTCAATTCGTTAATGAATAATCTGGCAGTATTTACACGAGCTCCCAGCTCTATTTTCGGTTGTGTGCGGTAGCTGCTATAATATGATGGAAGGTCCCCGCTCATCAGATTTGGGCTTTCTTTAGCAGATAGGTGGCTTGGCGCACGTGCGACATCTCTGTCTTGATACTCACCCATAAAGAACATGCGCAGACGCCTCTCGACATCAATGGCCCTTCTCTCCTTGACTCTTGTGTCGGTACCTCCAACTCCCAGGCCCTCTTTGCCTTTAGTCCAGCGGACTAGCACTGGGAAGAGTATTACATCCTGGTCGCCCAGTGGACCCGGAAAAACCCTCCACGAAATATATTCTACCCTTGGGCTTTCAGCGGAGAAATATGCAAATCGGGCTGCTCATACTTTAGGCCTGGGGCCTCGTGCAGTCGCCCATCGCATTCAAGCCTTTTTTGGAGACGGTTACGAACGAGAATCAAAACTGAATTTATTCGGGGACCACCATTTTCGGAGGCTCGAGAAGGACTGTTTGAGGCTGATGGAATATGCGCTTCCGTATGTCTCCCGCACTCATTCCTTTAACATGTCCCCATCGTTTCTCAAGGTCTGAATCCGCCCGTACTCAGCTCCAAACGTTCAAGACCCTAGTCGCGTTGATCACCCGATATCCCGGACTTTGGCGGCTATTTCGCAACTCTAAACACATTCAACCTGTTGAAAATTCTGAAGTTGCTATATCTTGCCTCTGGGATCGCGCAGGGGATCCCTGTTCATCCCAGTGGGGATTTTATCGCGATTTTGCGTCGGGGTGTGTCGCCGACAACGACATTTCTTCAATCGTCGGAAACTATCCAATGTCCGATTTCAGCGGTGGGCAGGGGGGATTGACAGTCATTGAACGACTACTTATCGCCGCAGACTCGCAGTGAGTGAACCACTTATCACTATTGCAAAGAGTTTACGTTGAACCTAGAGGACGTTCACCATTTTCCACGTTCATTGCGATCAGGTATTTGGGTGGCATACTCGAATTGCCTTCGTTTTGGATTCAGACTGGTTCAATATACGAGGCGGTTATCAAGAAGCTATTCTCAACACTTGCAGTGCTTCTTAAAGATATTGGTGTCGACTCGATGGATGTTTCCGACTCGGTGTACACAATGAAGTCGGATCCTGAAGGCCTTGATATTCTCTCCGAGGCTGTTCTGGCCGGCTTGAAGGGCTGGACGCTCGGCAAACCTCCCGCTGGGTACACCTCTCATTTTTGGTATTCGGAAGCTTGGCAGGTGCTGCAATTACTCAGACAGTAGGTTGATCTCCAAATTTCAGGCGTACACACGTTCATTATTGCTTCAGGCCAAAGGCAGAACATCTTCTTCCAAGATCATGGAGACAGGCGACAAGTGAAAGCTTTTACCAAATCGTTCCGCCAAAGTATATTACTCGGGACATGGATACTGTTCTTGCCACGTATGTTCTACAGCTTTCACTTGGCCAAACAGTAGTACTAAAACATAAAACGCTAGAAACATGGCACCTGATATTGGCGGCCTTGAGTCTGAATCCCCTGCGGGGAGTCGGGACTCCCTTGCCTCGCATTTCGTCCCTCTTCCTCTGCTTCCCGCAGACCTGCCTCATACTCAAATCACAGTCTCGCATATCCATGTGTGGTCCCGTCGTGGAAAGCAAGATGTCTTCATTGGGTTGTATATTGACCCAGGCAACAAAGAGGGATGGAAGATTGAGAAAACCTACTCGGATCTCTATGCCTTGGATCGGGGGGTTAAACGAAGCGCAGGGAGCTCAATTGATTGCAAGACACTCAGTCTACCGGGGAGTAAATTGCTGAAAGGTTGTGTCCCAAGAGACAGAGAACAGACAAAGGTACTTGCAACAGAACTACTCAGAATCAACTCCCTTAAATGTATTCAGGCCTGTCTCCAGTCGTACTTTCAGGCGTTGATAAATCTACCGAACAACTGGCGGAAAGAAGTGATTGGCTTTTTGACGTCTAATGTTTTACCCGAAAATGCGACATCTCACCAAAAAGAGAGGAAGGAGGGGTATCTCGTCAAACGTAAAAGTGGGGGATTTAAAACTGGATACACATGGAAGATGAGGTATGTTGTCGTGGACGGACCACTTCTCAAGTACTACGCATCTGTGAGCCTCTTATTAGTCATTTACTGGCGATAAGTTTACCTGAGGTGCTAGCCCGGTGGACGACTCAAACGCTCAATTGACTTGACCGGTGCTTGGGTTGGGCACCAGCGACCGGAACCCCAAAGTGATAAGGACTATGAACATCGGCATGCATTCTTGGTGTCGTCACCACAAAATGGATCACACGTATTCTGCGCAGATAACGAAGAAGACAAGGGACAATGGGTTCAACTGCTTGCTTCCTACGTGTCGGGATCTTACAGGGACACCGGAGATTTTTGTAGCGGACGGTCTGACTTTCTCGGGTCCGAGATATACTGGAATCTGACCATGAAGGATGAAGATTCGAACAGGGCGCATCTCAGCCATAAATCATACTACGAATGAATTGAATCGAGTTATTTTGGTCACTTCAGTGCATAGCAAGTATCAGTTCAGCCACCCCAGTTTTTTATCTAGCCCCCGGGAATGTGGCGGTGTTTATTGTGAACGCGATGGAGCATGTGGGACCTTTCTCCTGCCCAATTTTCCGGTTGCTGTTTGAACTACATGGGAGTGATAGTTGAGTTGTGGGATTGAAAAGCTAGTTGAAAGCGCTCGGTTGTATAGGCATGCCGTGTCGTCGGCTCAGCTCTGAAGTGGGTACATCCGAAAAGCTATCAAATCATTGGAAAGGATTCTAAGAAGTACCTTCAACCATCCTGCTCATAAATGTAACTGTAAGAGCGATTCATCACCACAACTCATCCGTAGTTGAGTGATTTTGTAAATTTACACCCATCCCAGAGCCACCTATCCGCTATTGAACCCACTACATTCATGACACTTTGGCCGAGTGGTTAAGGCGACACCCTGCTATCTTATGCTTAGTCAGAATCAAGGTGTTGGGATTGAGAAGCCGCAGTTTCCTTCAACCAGGAGTGATTTTGCAAATTTACACCTATCCAGAACCCACCTATACACTATTGAAGCCAACACCTCTATGACACTTTGGCCGAGTGGTTAAGGCAACACCCTGCTATCTCCTGCTTAGTCAGATCAAGGTGTTGGGATTGAGAAGCCGCAGTTTCCTTCAACCAGGAGTGATTTTGCAAATTTACACCTATCGAGAACCCACGTATACACTATTGAAGCTAGCACCTTCATGACACTTTGGCCGAGTGGTTAAGGCGACACCCTGCTATCTTCTGCTTAGTCAGAATCAAAGGTGTTGGAATTTTCCGCGTGTGTTCGAATCGCACAGGTGTCGGGATGTTTTTGCCTGTTTTTCCTTTTGTTTTGCTTGTTTTCCCTTTTGTTGCTCTTTGTTTTTCCTTTTGTTGGCGTTTGTTTTTTTGTTTTTGTTTTGTTGATCTTTGTTTTTCCTCTCTTCTATACCGGTGCGATCTGAACAATTTGCGACCTGCGCGATTCGAACATCCGCAATAGAATTTCCGCGTGTGTTCGAATCGCACAGGTGTCGGGATGTTTTTGCTTGTTTTTCCTTTTGTTTCCTTGTTTTCCCTTTTGTTGCTCTCTATTTTTCCTTTTTTCCCTTGTTGGCCTTTGTTTTTTTGTTTTTCCTTTGTTGATCTTTGTTTTTCCTCTCTTCTACACCTCAAAGATTGAACAATTTGCGACCTGCGCGTATGGATAATCTCGACGAGAATGGAGTTGTCAACTTTTAGGTTGGCCAGATCGAAAACTCAAAAGTCTTGATGTAGCACCGCTCGATTTGATGCTGTCTGTGTTGCATGCTCCTGATCTGATTGACCTCCTGCACTTTGAGCAGAGAAGCGAGCTGTGGCATTAGCCTGAATTTCTGGCGGCTCGGCGGATTTGGATCAAGTTCTTTGAGGACGGCGGACGCCGCGTGGGTACAACCGAGTGTATCAATAAATAAATTGACATCCAAAACAAACGGCAAAGAAGTATCTAGAAGGGCATGCGCCCACCCGTAACGCGACGAGCTGCTCTACCGATAATACGCCCAGCTTGCAACAGCTCTTCCCGCGAGCCAAGCTCCCGCGACGACACGTCGGTACCATTACTCGAGGGGAACAGCACCCCGTCCGGGGAACACACCGTCCCTGCGGCAGGGAGGGTCCCGTTCACGAAATACGCGCGCAGATGTGCGTAGATGCAGGTCGACGGTGCGGCGAGAGATGTGTGCTGCAGGTATGTAAATTATTTTCAATATTTAAGGGAGGGCAAGGCACGGCAACGTACCCCGACTGTGTCTAGGGTGAGGAGTACGGACCCGGGGAATGCGTTCGCAGTCTTATTGGCTCTGGCGGGATTCAGGCTGATTGCACTGGGGAGGAAAGATATGCGGCACGCACCCCCAGATAGGTGTTACATGATCCACGGTGTTCCCGATGACCAGGAGTGGGAAACTGACATTTGCGGCGCCGAATGGCCCTGATGGTATGTGTGTGATTAAACCCACGAACGAAATCGGCAAAAACGAGGAGAACGTACCGCTGAAACGGCCCTTACGATGGAGCTTCCAACCGCTTGAAATTGCCGTATTGTCAGTGGTTGAATTGGGATTTGTGTGATAGAGGGGCTGCTTACGAGCAGACGATCCGCCAGTTGCCCCAGAGATCCGCGAACCCAGAAACCGTCCGCTCGTCGTCCTCGAAGGTCTGAAGCGTCGCGACGGTGTCGTTTACGGCCGTCGCGTCACCGCAGGCTATCGTCAGCCCGGCCTCGTAGTTGTTCTCGTGGAACGGGATCGCAGTGCCAGTCGCGTTGCATTCACATTCAAACGGGGCGATCTCAGTCGCGGCGTACATTGTGGTCGCATTTCCGGCGGCAAGATCCGCTAGACTCTGCGCGAGGGGAACGAACAGGTCGTACGGGCTGTAGAAGGAGTCGAAGATGAAGTTGCGCAGGAAGGTGTATCCCACAATCCCGTATGAGAGGGGCGTGATGACGGGCAGGGGGTCGCCTTTGATGGAGGCGGAGAGTGCATCCAGGTTGGCGGATATTTGTGCGGACGAGTTGGCGTAGAAGGCGCAATCATCCGGGCCAGCAGCGAAGCATCTGTCGATGAAGGTCTGCAGGGCTTTGTCGGTGTCCACCATCTCGCTCGTTAAATTGGCTGTATTAACAGTTGAGCCGGAGCGGATGGTATTACTGAGTTTCTTACCGCTGTACCACGAGGCCATGTCGAGAACGCCTGAACGGTCGGTTTACAAGATCGTCAAAAAGTACAATGTCGAGACTTACCATCGATCACAACGCGGCCAACCTTGTCCTGTCGAAGAGGTCAGTGGGCCATTGGCGGAGGGACACAATTATACTCACAGGAAATAGCGCCGCAAATGTAGATCCCAGCACTGAACCGTACCTGGGGAGACTATCAGACGGGAGGATGGAGTGGAGTGGAGGCCGCTCACGAGACGCCCCAATACTGCAATTTGTCCCATCCGAATGCTTCAGTGATACGCAACATGTCCCGGGCGGCATTGTCGGTAGTCATATACTGGAAGTTGTCATTGCGCGCTTCAGCCAAGCGGCCCTGAATCTGTGCCCGCGCCCATTGCTCGGCTACTGCGTTGGAGGATTCGTTCAACGATGGATACATCGTATTCGTTGCTGCGGGCGTCCATAACGCGCGCTCTGCATCCGTCTTGAAGAACGAGACCATCGGTGTTGAGTAGCTGACTCCTGGAATACGCAACTAGGTGAGATGTTGACTCGTGGCTGAATATTCCACTTGCCTCGTGGATCGAATCCCACCAAGTCAAATCCATCCCCAAGGATGGTTGCGATAGACGCGCCGGACTCCACGACGTAGTCCACACCACTTCCGCCAGGGCCACCGGGATTCAGAAGAATAGGCCCGCGGTATTTCGATTTTGGAGCTGTCGAGGGTAGGCGGGTAATGGCGACGGTAGCGTTGCCCGTACTAGGCGACGCGTAGTCCAGGGGAACCTATATGGTTAAGATTTAGCTCGGTTTCACCACTAGTCCGACATTATATGCTGACATTCAAACGAGTGCACTCGAATCCATCGTAGCAGGCTGTCCAAACGAGCGTGTCCGTTGCCGCCAGCTGTGCGCGCACATCCATTCAGTACGACATGGGGTACGCTGAACAATCATCCACTGACCGTGTGCCACGCGAAATCGGCGCCGGCCAGAGCTTCAAGAAAGATGGGAGACAGCCCGAAATGGGATCGGAGAGTCGAGATAATCACGCTAAGCGTTATTAACTTCGAAGGCCTGGTGAAGAATGCCATCGATGCTCGGGTAGAAGAAGGATGTTGTGTGATTTCTGGCTTTCATACTTCACGAGTATTTAAACACAGGAGATGGTTCGTCCTGCGAAAATCGAGGGCCGATGTCGGCGTTGCGTCTGCGCAGGTCCGTGAACATACGGCGTTGCGAGAACCGGAGGTGGCTGTTCTGGAAAAAGTATAATATGAGCGCGGCGCTGCCGCGCGAGAGCACTGCGATCAATAAAGAACCTGGAGCCGATACATCGCAATCATAAGAGCTTAAAATTGTCCTGTTCTTGCGGCGCGACGAATGGTATTCCGCTAGCAAGTGCGTCCGTGCCAACTTCCAAGAATTGGCGAGAGTGACCTGCAGATACAGTTTCAGGCTGCGGCGCAGTAAAAAGAACGAAAGGCGCTGAACTTGAATCAGAATCACATCACCGTCTGCCAGTGCTGCTGCGCACCATTGTGATTTGCGCTGGGTCGCACCCGTGCTCTACTCTCTCAGTTTTCGGGCGCAACTCCTTTGTAGATCATGAACATGCGCGCGGACACGTCCGACGCGGGCATGATGTCGAGCAAATTCGGGACCACGGAGGAGGTTGAAGAGAGTCATGTGTCGTTCCGACACAGCCACCACAGCCACGCGTTCTCCTAAGTTATCTTATCTTATCTTGGCATGATTGGCACTCGAAAACCAAAGAAAGATTCAAAGAACAAGGCCGGATAAGCAACTTTGGAGAGAGTCCTAATCGCCTTTTCTTCCTGTTCCCAGGCCAACAACTCGTCGAATAAATTAAACGTGCCTCAGAACAACCCCGAACGATCTGGAGTGAACAACAGAGATTAGCTCAATTAATGTCCTGAAAATCTAGGGCCCTGCGTGGAAACCTGTTCTTTGCTTAGCTAAAACGTATGATGGTGATTTCTGGTGGAAAATAAAATCTGAGCGGATGCGCCCAGAGCTCGATAAAGTTCGACTTCAGATAACATTATACAGCACGACTTTATAAGGTTGTATTATAGAAAGAAACCGCCGATAAAAGGATATGACGTTGCGATAATTCACCAAAAAGCCAAAGACTACCTAGGATTCGAACGGATCGCCCGAATAATTCACCCGCGTCTTCCGCCTCGCTTTCCCTCCTCTTTCAACCTCCTCGAGCCCCACCTTCGCAGTCGCCACCTCGAGCGCCCCCACCAGCTTCTCGTTTTCTTCGTCAAGAATAGCCATCCGGTGGCAGATGTCCGATATCCCCAACCCCTCGAGCTTCGAATCAGTCATCCCCACACCCGCCCCCGAGTCCTCCAACTTCGAATCAGGGTTCCTAAACCCCGCGAGCTTCAAATCGCCCACCTCCGCCAACTTCGCATCGAGCACATCGCACCACTCATCCATAAAGTCGTCCTCCATGTCCGGGCACGCGCCCGCCTGTTTCAGCGCGGCCTTGAATCCCCACTCCTTGCTCTGTTTCATTTCCCAGAGCTGCAGCACGTTGTGCGGCCCCGTCGACAGGACGCTCGCCGCGACGTCCCCTGCATATGTTCAAATTGAGTTGCCAGCCGTTGAAGGGATGAAGGGACATACGCACACTGCTCGTCGGCGGCGGGCGGGCGGCCGCGGATGACGTGGATGAGGGTGTAGAGCCCATTGACGAAGTGCGCGAGCTCGAGGATCTGGATTGTGGGGTACCGGTTGAGGAATGCGCTGAAAACAAAATCGTGAGACTTTTTCGGGGAATCGAGTACTAAAATGAACGCACAGACGCCCGGACGGCTGCAATAAGCAATACACGCAGAATCTATACGCGGCGAACTTGAAGCGCAGGGATTCGGTTTCTGACGGGCTGGGATTGGGTATCAGATACGCGTCGATTCTCGAGAGAGACGCGTACATTACGACCGGAGGAGACTCGGCGAATCGCGTCAACGTTGGCTTGCGGTTGATACTTGGCGTCAAACGGCCATAAGCTTCTGACTAGATAGCAGAAATGCCACTCACTCGACGAGATTCTCATCCTTCAACAGCCCAAAGACGATG